ATGCCCTGTTCTTAGGAAAGATGTGTTCAAGTGTTTAGGGGGAAAGTATCATGATGTTACTTCAAATAGTTCATAAAAGAAGAAATGATAAAGAGATAGATATAGACAGAATCAAAGCAAATGTAACACATGTTCACAACTGGTGAATCTGGGTGAAACTATATAAAAGTAAAGAGTGCCCCTTCTGCAGGCTTTCACTTGGGTATATGGTAACTGCACAATAAAGCAATTCACATTTAATATTATTATTTCAGTAGGACCAAAAGTTGGTCAATTAAACAAAAAGTCAGAAGTCTCATTTAAAATATGTATCTGGCCCCAGTGGGGTTGGGTCAGTGGATAGAGCATCGGCCTTTGGACCAAAGGATCCCAGGTTTGACTCTGGGCTCACACGTTGGTTATAGAGTCCTACCCAGCCCGGGTCCTGGCTGGGCGCATGCAGGAGGCAACCAACCAATCTGTTTCTCTCATGTCAATGTTCCTCTCTGTCTTTCCCTTTCTCTTCAACTCTCTCTAAAAGATCAATGGAAAAATATCCCTGCATGAGGATTAACAAAAATAAGTAAGTAAGTAAGTAAATAAATAAATAAATACCTACTCATTATTTAAGAAAAATAAATAAATAAAAAGGTATGTATTTGGTCTGACCAGTGTGGGTCAGTGGTTAAGCGTCGACTTATGAACCAGGAGTTGACAGTTTAATTCCTGATCAGGGCACATGCCTGTGTTTTGGGCTCAATCCGCAGTAGGGGGTGCGCAGGAGGCATTGATGACTCTATCTCTCTCTACCACTCCCTTCCTCTCTCTGTAATCAATAAAAACATTTTTTAAAGTGTTCCTTTTTAATATTTCTTCATGAAAGTTGAAAAATATGAATAATGTTCAGTCATAGGTGAGTTATAACACATTGAATGAAAATAATGTACAAGTCTGGGGTGACATACAAAAGAAAGGGAGAGAAGAAAGGGAAAGTTCTAATAATAGAAAGAATCAGAATTTTTTAAAAATCACCATTTGCAGCCCTTGTATAAGAACTGATACAAACAAGGATGATCAATAGCTTTTAATAAGAGAATCAGCCAAAACCAGTTTGGCTCAGTGGATAGAGAGTTGGCCTGTGGACTGAAGAGTCCCAGGTTTTACTCCAGTCAAAGGCATGTATGTATCTTGGTTTTGGGCACATCTCTGGTAGAGGGTGTCCAGGAGGCAGCTGGACAATGTTTTTCTCTCATCGATGTTTCTAGCTCTCTATCCCTCTCCCTTCCTCTCTGTAAAAAATCAATAAAATGTATTTTAAAAAAAATAAAAAAGAGAGAATCACACAGTTTGAGTACCACCCCCTAGATTAGTTATAAATCACAACAGAGAAAAAGTAGTTAACTAATGAGAAGATCTGGTAGATCAAGTAACTAAATTTAGCATTTCTGGTAATAAGACCAAAGGGCATCATGCATTTACTGACACACAGAAAGACACAAGAATATCTATGTAGTGTTGTTGCCAAAATGTTTACTTGTAAAATAGTATGAAAAAATACCCTGAAAAATCCAGATTATGGAAAATTATCTAAGACAAATGTTAATGTCATGAAAGACAAAAAATTGGTAGGGGGATTCATCTAAATTAAAAAAAAGACTTAAGAGACACATAGCCAAATGCAATGAATGATCTTTTAGTGAACCCTAGAATTTTAAACCACAGCTCTAAAGGACATGTTTAGGACAAGTAGAGAAATCTGAAAATAGATTGCATAGTAGATATCATTATTCAATGTTAAATTTCTTAGGTGTTGTGGTTACCTAGGAGAATATTTTTGTTCTTAGGAGACACATGCTGAAGTATTTACAGGTACAGTGTCTTGTCTGCAATTTACTTTCAAATGGTCTGCAAAAAAAAAAGGAATAAAAAAGATAAATAGATAAAGCAAATGTGACAAAATATTAATTGATGAATCTAGGTGACATACCTTAGTACAGGTGTTCACTGCCCCGGTTTTTAAACCTTTCTGTAGCTTTGAAATTTTTTAAAATAAAATATTGAGGGGGAAAAATACACACACACACATACACATACACATACATGGTGGGACAAAAGTAGGTTTAGAGTTGTGTGTATAAGAAACACTAAGTTTATTCTTACACTATTATTTATTAACTACTGGCCCTGCACACAAATCTGTGCTCGAGTAGCTCACTGCCACTTGCCTCAGCTGGCTGCTCTGCCCACTGCAGCTCGCAGCTCTCCCCTGCATGTAGCTGCTGCCCCACCCTCCTACTGATCAGTCATCATAGCGCACTGCCATTGGCGTATTACGTATATAGGACTAGAGGCCCAGCACACCAGGAGGCACCCCAGGGGCTGCCAGTGCGGGCTGCTGGGATCCACGTCTGACTGGCATCGCGGGCGGTGGGACCGTGCCTGACTTCCACCCCAAACCCTCCTTCCCCCACCCCTGCGTGTGTTCATTCCCGGGCTTGTGCAGTGGCTCCACCAACCCCAGGTCCCCCGGCCCTCCTGCCTGTGTCCACTCCTGCCGGCTTGGGCGGGCCCGTCTCTGTCTCCGTCTCCCTCTCCACTCTGGGCCTCACCTGCGCATGCAACCTCCTCTGTCCAGTCATCACATTACAGCATCCCAATCTAATTTGCATATTACCTCTTTATATATTAAGATCATTGTTATTTTCCATATGAATAACCGTAAATCTACTTTTGCCCCACCCTATATGTATTCGGTAATATATAACCAAAGAATTTCTAGTAGGATATCAAGGAGGGGAGAAATGTGGCTCCCTGTAGGACAGAGAAACTGAATAGATGTGGAGCAAGTGGGGAAAAAGAATTGTTACTATGTATCTATAGACTACCTACCCCAAGACACCATGGATTTAAGAGTGTTAATTTTATTTATGCACAAAAAGAAATACTGCCAAATTATAATTTTAAAATGTCAAAATTTTTAAGACACAGACATTAAAATGTTTTCTGAAATATCAAAATGTTCATTTTAGTACTGATCAAATTTGAGACATCTTTTCAAATTATGAATCATGTGAATGTAATTATTACCTGTTTGAAAAAATAAAATAAAATAAAAAGTCAGACAAAAGAGGATGAGCTGGCAAAGAATGAAAGGAAGCAACTGATGAGGCAGAAGAGAGTGGAATCTCCAAAGTCAGTAGACAGTGAACAAATACAACAGTAGGAAAAGGGCTGGGCTGAAAATGTTCATTATACTCAGTAACATCAAATCATCTGTGATCCCAGAAAGAATTGTTTTGGAAAGATGGGAATGGGTGTGGCAGCCAAATTAGATCTATAGTTGAACAGGTAAGCAGGTGTAGACAGCTCTTTGAAAAAGGCTGCCTATGCCCAGGAAGGGAACAGAGAGAGATAAGGCACTAGCAAGGCGGGATATAGGGCCCAGGAAGAGATGTGGCTGATGGCTGTTTAAGATGGAAATAAATAAGCTAGAGATGTGAAGGATCCAGGGGGAAATTTGCAATTACAACAGACAGAAGTTAACCCTTCAAAGAGGAGAAGCATGGGACCCAGTGCAAGGAGGTAAGACAAGCCTCAGTCCTAAAAGGAAGGAAGAAGAGCATGATGCAAGCTGATGCAGGCAGGCTTAAGGCCTCGGAAAGGAGAGTGAGAGTCCCAGGTATCTGCTTCACCTTTTCTGTAATATTGGAGACATATTGGAGTTGAGAGGAGGAAGTCAGAGTAGAGGGTCCAGCTAAGTTCATGAGCAATTACAACATAGCCCGAGAAGTGCTCTGGGAGAGCAAGTACAAAGAGCTGTAGGAACACAGCCGAGCGCCTCCCTGACTTATTCTGGAGGAGCCATGGAAGGCTTCATACAGGTGAATCCTAGAGGCTGAGTAAGAGATGGCTAGGGAAAAAAAGAATCAGAAAAACAGGTGTGAAGATCTGGAGAACAAGAGCCTTGTATATTCAAGGAACAGAAAGAAGTGGAGCCAAGATGTGGGAAGGACAGAAAAGGCAAAAATAGGGTTGATAAGGGGGAGGGGGAGGGGTCATCAAGGCCTTAAAGGCCATAGGCAGGATTTGAGCTTTCTTCTCAGAGTCCTGTCAGCCACTGAAGAATTCTATTCTTCTTGTAAAAAATATAGCTTTAGTCTGGCCTGTGTTGCTCAGTGGCTGAGCACTGACTCATGCACCAAGAGGTCGCTGGTTTGATTCTGGGTCAAGGCACATGCCACAGGCTTGAGCTCCAATAGGGGGCATGCAGGAGGCAGTCAATTGATGATTCTCTCTTATAATTGATGTTTCTATCTCTCTTCCTCTCCCTTCCTCTCTGAAATCACTTAAAAAGTATATTTTTAAAAAGATTATGTTTTCTTTATTTTTTATCTTTCTTTTCTAATATTTCTACAATGGTCATATATCATTTTTGTAATAAGACAAAGCCTCTGGTTTAAAACAGCAGCAACTAGTGGAGAACATGGGGTTAGAAAGGTTTTCCAGATAGAAGATGAGCTTATTTATAAGCTGGTACAGTTAGAAGGAAAAACAGCTGATGAACATTAGTTTCTCAGGAGACAGAGGGCCAGCTTCCATAGCACAGAATAGCCATATTAAGAGTAGGATCCTTCCTTCTGCTGAGATTTAAGAAGTGGAGAAACATGGGTATGGTTCCACTTCTCCCAAAACCCCCAGCCAGCCTTTCCATAAATAAAGGGTTTGGGAACAGTAGCCCAGTTTGGAATACTCCTCCCATGAAATGGAACTAGGAGTTGTTGGGAAGAGGGAAAGGATTTCTTTCTTTTTTAAAATAATCACAAAATTTTTATTTACTTTTTTGCAATAATCATAAAATCATGCTGACTTAACATTTCATCATTTATTTATTTCTCATCTGATGTATTCTTATTAATCTGTTACATTTTGGTGTTCATCTTTTATTAATTAACTCCACTATGTCCTCCTCAGCCAAAGGTGCTATGTCTTTCATTTAGTTAATATGATATCGTTTCATAGGCCAAACAGTAAGTGTAATGCGTGTCGTAAGAATAGAATTACTGCATCTTGTGGGAAGAGCTGAAGCAGGCGCTCTTGGCTCGGCGCAGCCCGCTGCAATCCGTGGAGGAACGCGCCGCCGAGCCACCATCATGCCTGGGCATTTACAGGAAGGCTTCGGCTGCGTGGTCACCAACCGATTCAACCAGTTATTTGACGACGAATCAGACCCCTTCGAGGTGTTGAAGGCAGCAGAGAACAAGAAAAAAGAAGCCAGCGGGGGCGGTGTTGGAGGTCCCGGGGCTAAGAGCGCAGCTCAGGCCGCGGCCCACATCAACTCCAATGCGGCAAACAGCTGCGCAGAGTCCCAGAAAGAACGCAAGAACCCGCTGCCATCCAACATCGGCGTGGCTGACAAGAAAGAGGAGACGCAGCCGCCCGTGACGCTTAAGAAAGATGGATTAAGACGTGTTGGAAAAAGACCTGATCAACAACTTCAGGGTGAAGGGAAAATAATTGATAGGAGACCAGAACCGCGCCCACCTCGTGAAAGACGATTTGAAAAGCCACTTGAAGAAAAGGGTGAAGGAGGAGAATTTTCAGTTGATAGACCAATTATTGACCGGCCTATCCGAGGCCGGGGTGGTCTTGGAAGAGGTCGAGGCAGACGTGGACGAGGAATGGGCCGAGGAGATGGATTTGACTCTCGTGGCAAACATGAATTTGATAGGCATAGTGGAAGTGATAGATCTGGCCTGAAGCACGAGGACAAACATAGAGGTAGCGGATTTCACAACGGGGGAACTGTCAAAGATGAATTAACTTGGAGCAACCAAATGTGACTGAGGAAACACCTGAAGGTGAAGAACATCCAGTTGCAGACACTGAAAATAAGGAAAACGAAGTTGAAGTAAAGGAAGAGGGTCCAAAAGAAATGACTTTGGATGAGTGGAAAGCAATTCAAAATAAGGACCGGGCAAAAGTAGAATTTAATATACGGAAACCAAATGAAGGTGCTGATAGTCAGTGGAAGAAGGGATTTGTTCTTCATAAGTCAAAGAGTGAAGAGGCTCACACTGAAGATTCGGTTATGGATCATCATTTCCGGAAGCCAGCAAATGATATAACGTCTCAGCTGGAGATCAATTTTGGAGACCTTGGCCGCCCAGGACGTGGTGGCAGGGGAGGACAAGGTGGCCGTGGGCGTGGTGGACGTCCAAACCGAGGCAGCAGGACTGACAAGTCAAGTGCGTCTGCTCCTGATGTAGATGACCCAGTTAAGCTCTGGCTTAACTGGATGCCATAAGATAACCCTGGTTCCTTTGTGGACCCTACTTCTCTGAGGTTTTGCATGCTTAAGGATCCCAACAGTCTAAGAAATTAAAAAAAAAGAAGAAAAAAAAAGACTGTCATTCATACCATTCACACCTACAGACTGAATTTTATGTTTTGAAAATGAACTTCTCTCGCTACACAGAAGTAACAAATATGGTAGTCAGTTTTGTATTTAGAAATGTATTGGTAGCAGCGATGTTTTCATAATTTTCAGAGATTATGCATTACTTCATGGATATTTTGTATTGCTGCTTGCAAATATGCATTTCCAAACTTGAAATATAGGTGTGAACATGTGTACAAAAAAAAAAAAAAAAAAAAGAATAGAATTACTGTTCACTATTGTTAGGGAGCATGATCTTTGAGGATGTCTGGAAATCAGATCTCCCTTCAAAATTTGACAAATCATAAGTTACCTAATTGACAAATGATTTGAACCTAAAGTGAAGTACTACCTAAATTTAAATAACATGGAAATCCTGTGTATTTGGCAAAGTTTCTCTATGCTATGACTTACATATATGTAGCTATTTAATTTGTTACTGTTTGGTCATACCATTGGTAAACATTTGGACTTAAATTTCAGGCCCCTGACACTCTAAACCAGTGGTTTTCAACCTTCCTAATGCCGCCACCCTTTAATACAGTTCCTCATGTTGTGGTGACCCCCAACCATAAAATTATTTTCATTGCTACTTCATAACTGTAATTTTGCTACTGTTAATGAATCATAATGTAAATATCTGTGTTTTCCGATGGTCTTAGGCTCAACAGATTGAGAACCACTAGCTGGGCTGCCTAAGACCATCGTAAAACACAGATATTTACATTACGATTCATTAATAGTAGCAAAATTACAGTTGTGAAGTAGCAACGAAAATAATTTTATGGTTGGGGATCACCACAACATAAGGAACTGTGTTAAAGGATTGAGGCATTAGAAAGGTTGAGAATCACCACAACCACTCAGTAAGTGAGTATTCTCCATCTTGCCTCCCGACTCCTACTTAAATCACTAAAAAAATACCTTTATCTTTCATCTAGTATTCTCTCTACCTTCCTCCTTTCTCTCAAGAGTCCCCAGTGATGAGGGAAATGATTTCTAAAAAATGGTGGAGAGACAGCTGAGGCTGGAGGTCCTCCACGGAAGTAGAACAAACTGCTCTGGTATGTGAATTGGGACTTCTGCTGCCGGGTTGGGACACACAGGCAAAGTGGCAGGTTAGTTGAGGGCAAGGGCCACAGAATGGTTAAAATCCTGGACTCTGGAATCCAGATAAGACATAGAAGGTGCGATGCTCATCATATAGGAAAAATGGAGTTATCAGAGAATGAGAGGTCTCTTTACGGTCCCTTTAGGTAAAATAAAAGTTGGAATTTGGTCAGAGCATACTGGAATTTAAGATTTCAGAGGTAATCACATGACAATAATGAGCACACTCAGGAGTACCTGGTAGAAAGGGTGGCAGGAAGAGGCATCACCTCCCATGGGACAATGGGATGTGGAGTGGGAGACTTGTCCAGCACTGAAGTCCTCAAAAAAAATACAAAACACACACACACACACACACACACACACACACAACAAGGCAGAGAGACAAGGAGATAACTGGGTAATAACTGGATTCTAGGAGGCTTAGAGGAGGAGAATCTAATCCTGGCTCCCTTGTCCCAGGCTGTCTTCCAAAGGTGTGCCCATGGTTACAGAGAAGTCAGTGTAGCAAAGTATGGATCACACAGAGTGGGATAAGCCAGAGCTCAGGGCAAGATTGCTTCATTTGTATATGAAGGTTAGCCCAGAAAGAACTTGGGCTTGGGAGAGCTACAGAAGGCTATGGTCACAAGAATGGAAGGCTCCAGGTTCCTCTGCTGTTATTTCAGAGTGTGAGTGTGTATGTGAGTGTGTGTGGGGGGGGGGGGGGGGGGGGGAGGGAGAGAGAATGACAGAGAGACAGAGAGACAGGAACAGAGAGAGAAATGAGTGGCCTCAGCAAACCAAATTTCTTGACTACAAAATGAGAAAAGTAGCAATTCTGTTTCTAAAAATGTTTTGGGTGATGGTTGAGGGTGATATATATATATATATATATATATATATATATATATATATATATATATATTTTTTTTTTTTTTTTTTTTTTTTGGTGTGTGTGTGTGTATATATATATATATATATATATATATATCCCCAAAGTACAGACCTAAGGATAAACTACCTAAGTTATCAACAAGATAGCAAAAAAAAAAAAGAGAGAAAAAACCCTGAGAAAAAAAATAAGATAGCAAATACTACCTGGATTTTGTTTTTAAAACCCAGATTATAATTATTCCATTTCTTACTGTGAAACTGGGAGGATAGATCTCACAGTGGAGATAGTGAGGACCATGGCCAAGAGAAGAGACTCAAGCCTGGACTCAGATTAGGCCAGAGACCTGGGGCTGGTTCCAGGCTGCCTCCTGCCCAGCCCTCCCTCCTCCCCGCAAGAGCCCCTCATCCTTGGCAAAGAAATGGTAATTTTCTTCCTGCCTGCCTAGAGTCCAACATGGAAGTTTTCCCTTCTTACTCAATCTCTGGTCCCCTTATCCCACCACCAACTCTGAAGTTCAGAACTATGAATCATGCTGAGAAAGTAACACTCTCCTGGCATTGCTATCACTATCCTGTGATGACTCTTTAGTAGCCCCTACTGATCCTGTGCCTAGCAAGCATTCAAGGCCTGTGTCAATCAGCTACAAACCTGTCCCACTACCCTTTGCTTCTCTATCACAGGCTGACCTGCTTCCCACACAACCCAGCTTCATTCATGAGATCATGTCTATCTCTGCTTTCAGTGCCCCTAAATAAGAGTTCTGTTAGCTCCTCTACGTCCCATTATTTTCTCATCCTACCTCTCCTGGGAAACCTTTCAGATATCTCTGCTATACTTCCTACTGCTTAAATTCTGAACCAAGTGGTCACTCATTCTCATCCAATCTCTTCCTCAGTCTCTCAGGGGCGGGGTTTCCAGGAGGGACCCAATACAGGGCAAGACACAGCACTGTCAATCTGTGTTCCTGCCTAAGACTTGGATACCCTCCCAAAGGGTGGGAGTGGAGCAACTGATGCCCTGCCGCAACCACGCTAAGCCCACAGCTTCTGTCAACCCTGCTGTCCCACACCTCCAGGAAACCTTCAGACTCCACGCTGTCAGCAGGGAAGAAGTTCAGCCCCTAAATGAAATGTTGTGAGGAGGAGCAGGGAGAGGGAGGTAGAGAGAGGAGAAAAAGAAAAGAGAGAAGAACTGGGAAGGTGGCTCTAAATTAGAGCAAGCAGCTTCCTCAAGAGAGGTCAGTACTTAATCCTATTATTTCATCCCTAAAGAAAGGTGCTGGCAAAAAGATGCCCAGAGAGAGGAATGAACTTGTTCAGACATGGCTAGTCAGCCAGGGAAAGGACTCCATAGGCTTGTAGACCTAAGAAGACCCTCTTTCTGTGGCCCATTCACCTGTGAGACTCCTCTCTCAGCTTTGAAGACTTTGACTTCAGGTTCACCAAACCCAGATAAAATTTCAACTAGTAAGATTGGTATAGCCCCAGAAAATCATTTCTGCCAGTACAGCCCCTGAAAGAACCATCTCCCTCTTTAAAAGCTCTGACCATCAGAGGCAGAGCCAGTAGCTGCAAAATTCTTTAGACTCCCCACCCCAAGGGCTCACAGGCAGGCTCCCCAACAGCTGTGCTTAATTGCCATCTCTATGCTTTTGCCCATACCACTCCCCAGAAATGCCTTCTCTTCCCGTCCAAATCTCACCCCCTCCAGGAAGTCTCTTATTCGCTGGCTCTTTCTCCTTGTGTCCACAGTAAAGTCTGTCTGGTCCTTCCTAAACGCCCCATCTGGAAGCTGGGGCAATTCTCAGTCTCTACTTGGTTCCTCTAACCCCCAGACCAAGAGCTCTCGAAGGCAGGGGAAAGGACAGGTTGCCAAATACCTCACCCTTACCCTCGTGACAGACTCCAGCCAGCGCTGGAATTAGCTACATGCGGCACACCCAACACACCACCTCAGGGGACCCCAGGCTCAAGCCACTGCATTCACCACCCCTTCCCTGCTTTCTCCCCGCCCCCGCCACCCCCTCCCCGCCGAAACCCTGAGGCGGCTAAGACCTGCAGTCCAAAGGTCGGTTGCACTGGGAGGCGGGGGTGGGGTGGAGGTGGGGGAGTAGCAACCTGGGTCCATCAGCAGGCGCGCCTCTAGTGAGGAAGGACGCAAAGGATGCCACAGTTACCCGCCTCCAGACGCCCCCATCCCTATGGCGTGCACCATCCCCAGGAAAGAGAACACCGATTTCTAGAAAACTGAGGGGGTCTAAGGGGGAGGATGGAGGGCCCAAAGCCCAGTCAGGCTCCAGAATCCAGAGGTCTGACGTCACCCAAGAATGCGGGTTTCCTCTAAGGGAGCTAGGGATAGAGATGGTGGGAGCTGGAAGGCCTGGGAGAATCCGGGGCTCCATACAGGAAAGGTGACCTCGACTCTCCAGTATCTCGGCCAGCCTCCTGCATCCAAAAGTGAAGCGTAGTGGGTACAAAGTGGAGAAGGGATGACCGCACCCCCACCCCCCCACCCCCCACCCCTCGCAACTGCGCCCAGCTTCCCTGCAAAAGCCCTTCTCCGAGCCGTCAGGCCCGGACTCACCCGCCGCTGTCTCTCGGAGGCCGAAAGGCCGCGGCGCTGCCCAGGGCTTTCGCTACACCCGGCGATGCGGCGCCAAGCCCGCCTCCAGGCGCTCGGGGTCTGTGAGCAGAGAGCGCGCACCGCCCCTTGTCTCAGCAGCTCTCGCGAGACTCCCGCTCTATTTCTAAGGCTTTTCTCCCTGCTCTCGCGAGAAAGAAGTCCAAGACACCTCCGCACTTTCCCGGAGCTATCCGAGGTCCTAAGTCCTGCCCGACCAGGAGCACGGCGGGGACGTGGAGGAAGAAACCCAGGGATGGGAGCCTGGTACCAACAGCCAGAGCTTCAGCTTCTAAATCTGTGAACTGGAGAATAACCCCACAGCCGGACCCAGAGGCCTCTGGGATTTACCAGGAAAGAGGAGTAAGGGAGTTATGTGAAAAGGAGAATACGGTGACTGATGAAGATCCTTCAGATCCACATCCCAGAGTGACAGCAGGGGATGGAGGACAGAAGATCAGAGATGAGACTTGAAGAGAGAGAGATAAGCACACGAGACACCGAAAGGCAAGAGAGGAGAACCGTGAAGATAGAGATACAGAAACTTAGAGAGAAAAAAGACATGGAAAAAAAGGAAGAGAACATGATGAAATGAAAAAAAGATAATAGAAACAG